CACCTATCTCCTTGAAACTTGGTAGAATTCATGCTCAGCAGAGGATACCACCCCTGAAAGTTTCTTCCAAAACAGAGAAAAACATGGATCTCCCCACTTTATCAGAGAAAATACGGGTTATTCCTTTTAGCAGAGATACACACAGATTTCCCACTGTTGCAAAGAGCTCAGGCTGGCAGAGTTTCATCCTGTGAGAACTTCTTGCAAAAAGGGTGGCAAACCCCCAGACTTGGCTCAGGCTCACTTTTTCTTCCTGGAGCCTGAGGTAAGCAGGGCTGCAGGTCATTGACGGGGGGCACTAGCAGGGCTGGAGGTTATGGAAAGAGCCAGCGGGGCACAGCATAGGTGCATGGGTGGGGGCGGGGGAGTGGGGAGGTGTTGGGGAAAGCCCTGCATGGAGGGCCCAGTCAGCCAGCGAACTGGGAGCTGCATACTGTTGGCCCAGGCGGGCTCTGTGCTTCAGTGTATGGCTTCACATGGAAGTGTGGAGACCACTTGGGCCAACAGCATGCAGCTTCTGGTCCATGAGCTACAGGGCAGGCCAGGCAGGCTGCATGCCTCTATGTGCAACTTCCCACAGGAGTGTAGGAAGCCCCACAAGGAGGCACGCAGCCTGCTCAGCCAATAGCGCACAGCTCCCACTCCACACACAGGACTGGCTGGGCAGGCTCTGCATCTCCATGTGCAGCTTCCTTCACTCCTGCAGAACACTGCACGTGGAGGCACAGAGCCTGGTTGGGTCAATGCGCCCCTGTGTGCAGCTTCCTATGTTTTTGCAGGATGCTGCACATGGAAGAAATGGAGCCCTCTCAGCCTGATAGGCAGGTGTATTGGGGGGGTGGGATATGGGACCTGCGGGCTCCACACCTCCATGTGCAGCATCCTGCAGGAGTGCAGAAAACTGTACGCACAGGTGCAGAGCCTGCTTGGACTGACAGTGCGCAGCTTCCATACCACCCCCCACCTACAAACCCTACCCTCATGCCCACACACCCCACAAGGATTATGATGAGCATGAAGGCAAGGACAGGACAGCCAATAGGTACTACAGGCAAGTAAAAGTGCCCCATGTGTGGGGGAAGCAAACTCAAACACTTCAATAGCTTCCACAGACGTGTATGGAGGGAAGCAGATAACCTCCATTCTAGAATTCTCTGAAAGGAATAAAACATTAAATCGTGTGTCTGGTACTGATGTCACAGGGGGCTCTCAATGTTTTATGAACTGAGTTTCAAAAAAGGGAAGTATGGATTAGAACTTCCTTTTAAGTATCCAAACCATCAAAATAAAAACCTTAATGCTTAAAACCACACTTCTGGTACAGTCCCTTGTTTTGCAGCAAATGTTTACGTACCTGAATGAGCATTTGTAAGTATGTTTTCAAACAGGCCACATTCAAAAAGTGATGTTACAGTTTCCTCATACTCTAGGGATGGAAAACAAAAGTTTATTTTTATGTTACACAGTAGTATAGAACTTTAATTAAAGCAGCACTATCTGTGTAGTACACCTGCTTCTTGAGGCTTAAAGTAAAGAGGCTAGGTTATTCGGAGATATGCCAATGTTTACATTTCTTATACCAAGAACAGTAAGCCAACCTAGACAAACATTTTCCATTTCATTTTTTTGCACAGAATTCATGCTCTGTGTCCTCAAAATGCTCAGTATAATTTTTTAAAGCTGAGGAAGCTAATACTGCTGAGGAAGCTAATACCACAGAGGAAAATTTTTAAATTCACTTTAATGTTTGTTTGCAGAATCATTAAAGGGGACAAATTCCTTCAACACTTTTTGTACAAAAAGTTAACATAAACATCCTACATAGAAGCAGATATTCATTTAAAAGTTAATATTCAAAACATCCAAATCACTCTCCAGGAGACTTAACACACACATTCTCATGCACTTATGTTTCACAGAATTATATTAACAGACTGCTTATCCTTCTGTGAAAAAAGTCACTGCAGTCCAGATTGGTTTAAACCTTTCAAAGCATTGTATGCGTTTAAGGCAGACATATGTACAAGCTTGTTAAGCCGATGTAAAATGGCCTGGAACAGTTCGGAAGTGTACCTGAAAAATTAAGTACCATTTTGAACTGGTTCCCTGCAAACCAGTTTGATGTTACATGTGGACACCAAGAATTCTGCTTCACATCAGTCTTCCAGGCATCCCACACTGTGTCACTCCTCACCCCTACTGCTAATACACAACAGATACCCCCTTTTCGGCATTTTTTAAATCAATAAGCTTCTTTAAACTGCTTGTTCAATAAAAGCTATTTTTCTAAAACCAGTCATGTCCTCACCGCTACTTAACCTCAACCCCCTCTCATCTTGCCCTCACCCAGCTCTGGGAACCAGATAGCACGAGTCCAAGCACTCTACCACCCCACTTCCAAGTCAGGGAAGCACGCTGCAGATTTTAACCAATTACAGGCTACTGAAATTTAATGATATATGTTTAGGAGACAAGGGAAAGCAGAAAAATTAAAGTGTCCCCTGCCACAAGTCCCCCACGCCCTGGGATCCCCAAAGCATTAGTGCACTGTAAAGGTAAGCTGGGCTGGGTGCTTATTCCCATCTGCTGGTGTCAGAGCCACAGCACTTCACACAGCTGTGAACTAGTTCTCAAGTGGTGCTAATTTGAACTGGTTCAATTGTGATGCATGTCTGCATTCAGAGGCAGGTTTTTAAATGCTTGGGAAACAAGTCAGACCAGGAATCAGGCAAAACTTTGTTGGGCTGATGGGGGTGTGAGGATCTTGTTTCTGTTGGCAGCTCCTTCCCAACAAAAAGCAATGATATACTGCTGCAAGTGGAGTCAGACAAGTCTCCTGAGTAACCAAAACATCAAACCAGGGTTTTAAAAGGCACTAAGTGTTCTCAGAACAGGATTTAGGGTTTAAATTTTGGCATGTTTAATGTCAGAATGTATTGGGAAGTCACTTCCCTTTTGTTCATAGTACCTGTTTCTGAAGTGTTATCATCCATGAGTTTTTCCTGTGCAAGGTGAAGTGTGTCAAGCATCGCTTCGAATATATCGTCCAGAAGCCCGGCCTGCTTGCACTTCCGAAGAAAATCTATTCTTACTGTGATACATAAAGATATATATATAAGCGTTTGCATTTGCTAGAACTGTTTTTCAGCATGGTGATTGCAGGTCACTGTCCTATAAAACTCTGTAACAGAAGCTGTTCTTCTCGCTCTTCTAACTAGTTAAAACACTAATGTTAACCAGCAGATTTTTTGGTGATCTAACTCTGCTCTCACAACTCCCTTCATATGTACTCAGACCCTCTTGTGTCCCAACAGGTACTGCACAAGGAATTTTAATCCCTCTGGATCCCAGGCCTGCCTTTAGTAGTCAAGAGGATTGCCATCACAATCCTTTGGATTCACTTCTAATTCTTCCCTTTCTGAGGGTTGCTCCATGGATGGCTCAACAAGAGGAAAGAAAGAGGCCTAATGGAGCAAACTGAATTAGATTTTGTTGAAAAATAGTTCCTGGCCTTTAGTCTCTAGTAATACAGCACTTAATTTGCCTTACCACAAGCCCATCTCATATGGCTGTTTTATTACAGCTGGGCTATGAGAAAAATATAAATACTCACTTTTCCCAGTCTTTCTTAGGACACCAGGTCATTTATGAATAATGCTAAGATTAACAGGCTCTTTGAAAGTAAAAAGGATGTGTATATTTAGTTAATTCAGTAGAACACAGATTCTTTACAGAGTTAAGTTCTTAACCCACTGCAAAGAAGGGGGTTTGTGAAATAACTAGGGGTATGCAGGGCCTCAGCACCCTACTGCACAGTTTGCAAGCCACCCAAGTACAAAAATCCTGTCATGCAACATGACATTCCTTTTTCTTCAAAAAAAAACCTGGCTACATTTGTAAAAAATGGACTTCACTAGAATGTATAACATCCTATTATTAAAGCAAGCAATCACCTTTAAAGAGGGTTCACTATTGGCAAACCCTCCAAAACTTTCTGCATTTAGTCTTTTCTTAGGACACTTGCATAAAACAATGCATCTTACATTCATCTTACATACAATTAGTCTAGTTCAGTTTTCTACCCTGAATCGTAACCTTATGTTTCTGCATCAATTAGCTGCTATATAGAGGTATATGAAACCTAGAACTTCAGTGGGAGAAGTTTCAGAAAGAAGCACCATTTTCATTAATAAAATATAGAAAGGGATGTTCTAAATTAGAGGTGCTTGAGAGTAGGGAAATTAAGCTCTGTTTACACTAGAGATGCTATTTTCAACAGACAAGTGTTCTGTCATTTACTATGACAAGCAGTTTTCTAATCTTTAAAATATGATTTTAGTAAATGCATATTCAAGTAATACTCTGCCATTCTTCTTTAAATATTATACAAGACTCAATGAATTTAGACCATAAGTGCCACTATCATCTTCCAACCCTCTTTAATATGAACTATCTATATTTGGAAGAGTAGTCCTATTTATTATAAGGGTACATTTTGTTCATTGGAAAAATCTGGAAGACAACTTTGTCCCCAAGACAAACTGTTGCACAACCTGTTTTACCACAGAAAAATTGAATTACAAAAAGTAAAACCAAAATATTAGCATGCACTACAGTATGATTTGCATTCAGGTAACAATGTGAGGGTGTTTCCCATTTGAGGTAATACTTTCATTTTTCCTGATAAAATGTGAAGGTCAGATTATCACTCAATGATTAGCGAGCAATAATCTTCATGTAGGCAGCATACTGAACTGTACATCTCATTCCTACACTGACTGCTAACCTCAAGTCCCTCCCCAAGTACCACTAACCACAATTAATAGTCAGATCAACTTCTGCCCTGCTAAGTTATCCCCTCCCCAACTCTTCAAAAGAAGAATAGCCTGTTTCCTCCTCCAACTAACAACAACTCCTCTTAAATATAACTCTTTAAAACCCGGAAGGAAACTACGCAGAACCTTTCCTTGCTGATCAGACTTTAAGAGAAAAGGCCAAGAAAACATACAGCTGTGATTTTCTTTCTAGAGAGCATCTCTGAGCTCACACTGATTACTTCAGTATATGTGATTATAATACCAACCAGTTATGATTAATATTAAAGGTCTATCAAACCTTTGTGTCTGTTATTGTTCCTTAGAACTCGTAAGCTATTCTCTTCTGCCGTTTCCTCTGTGCTCTATTATGAGAGAGAGAAATATTACATTTATACCAGTACTGACATTTACTGCTTAGTTGTTTTCATTCTATCTCCTTATTTACTAAAAGATTTAAAACCAAAACAGTACAGTACTTAACTGCCTTTTCCCCCACAACAGTCAGTCATTCTGCTTGAGTGTTTAGTTGATTATTCCCACTATAAACCATTTTATTATAGGACAAAGCGCAAGCATACCAACATCTACACCCACTATCCCAGGATAAATCTTAAAAAGCTCTCCAGATAAAAAGTAGTAACAATTTTATCCCAGGATATTGCAAAGTATTTCTCCACTGGTATCATGGGATTGCATCACTGAATTAATAGCAAAACACGTGGCACTTTATTCAACCATTCACTAACGCTGATTAGAAGGATAGTGTGTGTACATGCCAATTCCAGGACATTTTTGTTCTGGGACAAGTGGGCATAATTTATCCAGGGACAAATGCAACATTTGTTTCTAGCCAGAGAAACTTTTGGGGACAAATTAATCTAGCAATAAAAATAATATTTTAAAGTTCCAAGGATTGTGCACACCTTCCAGTTTAGTCTCCCGTTCACCTCTGGGTCTTGGAGTTATAGTGACTGCTGAGGAAGGCCAGATATGGCCTCCTTTGGAACTTGTCAGGAACTCCCCTCCCCTCCCCTCAACCACAAGGATTTCCTGGCCTCCTGAAGTAAGGATAGTATTCTTCAGCAAAGGACCAGAAGAAGAGCTGTGCTCTTGTTCTGGATTCTGATCCCTCAGGGCAGTCACTGATTAATTAAGACAAGAGTACACAGCTTGTCATCCTAAAGACCTTTTTAATTCCAGGTGAAAACTTCTTGTAGCAACCACTGAGAATAAACTATACACTTGCATATTTGGAAAGCCTAGCCCTGCTGAAAGCAATGGAAGTTTTGACACATTCTTCAAGAAGGCCTGATTATCATGCTCAATCCATATAAACTGCAGCTAGAAGTTTGCCCAATACAAAAATCCATATGCAAAATCCAAAATGCACAACCGCCCCCCCTAAAAAGTCAGACATTTTGACCTGTGCACTTCATTAGGGTTCAGAAGGTGTCTTAAAAGTGCAACACTAAGAGAACCTTCATGTTTAAAGTAAAAAAAAAAAAAACTGCTACATCTACCTCTACTGAGGTTTATTGAACTAAGTGCAGGTGCTAGCTGAAATCAGCTGGGTGTGGACACATCTACATCTGAAGCCCTTTCAAAAGGGGAAGTTTCAAGATGGCAACAGCTGCTTTGTCCTAATTGTTAGGTGTGAAAGAGCTAAGGATTAAAATGTAGCAAAACAACTTTTACTCCTGGATGAAGTGGTATTAAAGCTGGGTTTGTGCTCTGTTTACACTGTTCTCAACTCATTCACACAAAGCATAACAACTGCTGCCCTTTTTGAAGATTCCCCTTTTGAAAAGGCTCCACATGTACCTGTTTTTACACATTTTATGCCTTATTAAAACATTTATGGAAGCCACACCAAGGGCTCACTGGGTAATGGTAATGTATTATTTTGCCAATGCAACATCTCCGGTGTTTAACAATAAGCAATAAGAAATTGTTGTTATGATCTTTTTTATGGCATCCATCCATCAGAGAGTGTTGGTGAATATTGCAGCTATTCTGATTGGTGGTAGATTTACTCTTGTGGTCCCAGTACCCTGGAAATTCACCAAAAAAATGCAAATCACAGTCCCAGAGCCAGATTTACCCTTGATTGTATTGACCAGAATCTCACTACAGTTGCACTGAATTACACCAGGGTAGAATCAGACCTACCCCAGATAACTCTGAATGTGAACTGTATTGCTTTGAAGGCATTGCAAAATCAAAATAAATTATAAAAAGCAGCTGTTCAGGAAATGCTGTTCCTATATACAAATATTTATTTTCTGAATAATCTGGCACCAGTCTGTTACAGTTTTTAGAAGCACAGAAGTTTTAGTTTTTGAATAGAGCTACTTAAATTCAAAATTACCATTGCTTCCCTGATGGTGGAAGGTATCGACTGCCTTCTCCTCCTACTGACTGCATCTAGAAATCAAGAAATAATCCTCTAATAATTAATGTAACACTAATAACATTAAACTGACATTTTTAGATAAATGTTTTACACTTGATTTGGGTATCTTTCCGAGGGCTATAAAAAGGTAGACACTTTGGATAACAAAGCAACAGTATATTTCAGCTGCCCTGACTTCCTTATATTTCAGTTAAGTTTTTATTATTTCCATGCATGATAAAGTATAGCATAGTTAGGAAAGTCAAAGACAAAGAAGGATAAATTATTGTATATTTCTTAAAAGAGATTTCTCTTGTACAATAATTTACCTTTCTCTTTCCTAACTATGCTATACTTTATTAGGCAGATCCCAGTCAGGGAGGTTGCTCCATAAGGGGCATGGCAAAGGAAGGCAGGCCTTGGGTGGATTAAACAGGTCATCACAAAGTGGTAGATAAGGTACAGTACAAATGGTTTTGACCAACTTCCGGGTCATCATCAGTTGACGGATGTGTGGGGGTGATATTTGCAAGGATGGGAAGCCAGAGGAGGGGAGGATTCTAGTTATGATATGCATGGTTGTGTTCAGCTGAGTGTCAACAAGATGCATGTGTGATGACTTTTGTCAGACAGGTACACACTACTCTGCTCCTGAGTATGATGGAGCAAGAGCTGAGGTCCAGACTGTTGTGGCTGCAGCTCCTGAAGTTGATCCAGCAAGCTTGGCTAGTAAGTTGTTTCAGGATTTGATCTTTGCTGCTGTTTTCTTTAAACATTCCCAGAAAGTGAGGGTTCTGTCTAAAGACACTCCCAAGCATGTTGGGCAGGGATCACGCTTTAGTCTCTGACCACCCATATAGATGTTAAGTTCTTTTTTGGCACTAGCATTGTGGAGATGAAATACACTAGATACAGTTTTGGCAGGACTTGGTGTGAGCCACCATATGGTGCAGTAGTCTGCCTAGCTTTGTCACATCTTCATTCAGGGTCTGGTCCAGAATGCAGAAAGATGGAGCTTGAGTGGTATAGTAGATGTTATCAGCACAGATGAACCTGCAGGATGTGGTTGCTGGTAGATCACTTATGTAGAAGTTGAACAGGGCTGGGGCCAGCACTGAGCCCTGTGAAAGTCCACTGGCCTGTCTCCTCTACGTGATTATCCCCTGCCCAAGGTGGACTCTGGATCATTTGTTATGGAGAAGTGTTTTGACAACTATAACGACCCAGCCTAGAAGTACTCTTGACAGCTTTAGAAACAGGTCGGTGTGCCATACCGTATCGTAGGCAGCTGTCAAGTCCAGTAGCACCATGCCTGTCTTCAGGTTCTTCTGAAAACAATTTTTGATGTAGGTGGTAAGTGCCAGTGCTTGATTACATGCACTGAGGCCCTTGTGGAATCTGGCTTGATTGATGCCAAGGATGTTTTCTATTTCTGGGGATATCCATTCTAAAATGAGGCGCTCAAGGACGTTGTAGCACACAGACAGTAGTGCAACTGGTTGGTAGCTGGTCACCAGTGTGAGGTCCTTGCCAAGTTTTGGAATGGCAAAAACTTGCCATGTGCCAGTTCTTTGGGAATGACATTGAGCTGATGATTCTTGCACTGAATTGGATCAGCCACATGTGAGCCTGGGGTCCAAGTTGTTTCAAGAAAGCTGGTAAGATGTTGTTGTAAACAGCAGCTTTGCCACGTTTCAGGCCATTTAAGACTTTTTTTTTTCCCCCAGTTCAGTGACTTCAAAGGGGTCAAGGCTGTTATATTCCGTGTGCTGCTTCCGATATTGCTTCAGTTCATGATGAGTGGTGCACTTTGTATTCTTTTCCAGTGGTGCCCTGGCTACATGTAGTAGCTGACTGGCAACTTGGCCTGGGGTGACTGATGGACAGTTTGGTGCAGGTGGTTTTTGGGCTGCAAGGCAGTGGATTATGCTCCAGCACGTCTGGCTAGAATAAGTGAAGTTTAGCTCTGCTGTGGTTGCTTCCCATTTCAAGTTGGGAATGAAGCAAGCTAAATCAAATTAAAGTTACTTTATTCTGAAGAAGAGTATGCACACAAGAGTTTAAATGCAACTTAAATCCATCTTTGTTCAATTATTAAATATTCAAAAATACTCTACTGCTATAGAAAGCAAGTGAGCAGCAAGCCCCCATCATTTATTCTTGAGCTGATGGCTGGGAATGAAAAGAGAGGATGTAACAAATAACTGCATGTGATAAGAATCCCAATGACCTGTTATAACAAAGTTCAGTGTCTACTTGCCTAATAAATTGTGATCATAGTGCCAAGCACATGCTTTTACAAGCCATTTTGCTCAATTTAGAAGTCGAAAAGTACGAGATAAAAGCACCTGAAGTCACAAAATCTATCTGAGAAGTAAAATACTTAATTCAAATGCTAGTGCCAGTCAACTTGTAAAAACAGGATCCTGTCAGCACAGGTGAAAAATGTAAATCTTTATACTGAAAAACTTAAACCTTTACCACAAGGCCACATTTCAACTGGTATAAATCAGTATAGAATCATAGAAAATTAGGGTTGGAAAGGACCTCAGGAGGTCATGTAGTCCAGTGTTTCTCAACCCGTGGGTCATGACCCAAAAGTGGGTCACAAGAATATTTCAAAGGGTCGCGAGCAAATGCCAGAAAAATGTGCAAAAGTGCGGGTTTCCCCTTGCAGGCTGGCAGCAAGCAGCTGCTTGGTGTGTGACCAGCACACAGCAAGGCAGGGTCATGGGAACAGCCCCAGCAGCCAGATGAAGGTAAGTGTATGGGGAATGAGAGTTGGAGGGCTAGGGCTTGGGGACTGCCGGGGTGGGGTGCGGTGCATGGGGTGTGTGCACACACGCATGTGTGTCTGTACATGTAGGGGATGGGTGTGGGGGAGGAGGTGCCTGCTGGTACTGGGGGAAGGTGGCCAGCCACTGAGGCTGTGGCAGGGCAGGGGGGACAAGGCACTGGGTCAGGCACCAGCAGGGCCAGGGAGGTGCGGGTCAGGACAAGCTAATCTTTGCACGTGGGTCCCAGTACCAAAAAGGTTGAGAACCACTGATCTAGTTCAACTCCATGCTCAAATAAGGACCATCCCCAACTAGATCATCCCAGCCAAAGCTTTGTCTAGCCGAGTTTTGAAAACCTCTAAGGATGGAGATTGCATCACCTCTCTGGGTAACCTGTTCCAGTGTTTTACTACCCTCCTAGTGAGAAAATTCTTCCTAATATCTAACCTAAACTTCCCTTGCTGCAGCTTGAGACCATTGCTCTTTGTTCTGTCATCTGGCACCACTGAGAACAGTTCAGCTCCATCCTCTTTTGAACCCCCCTCCAAGTAGTTGAAGGCTGCTATTAAATCCCCCCTCAGTCTTCTCTTCTCCAGACTAAATAAGTCCAGTTCCTTCAGACTGTCCTCATAAATCATGCCCCCCAGCCCCCTCACTATTTTGGTTGCCCTCCACTGCACTCTCTCCAATTTGTCCACATCCTTTCTGTAGTGGGGGGGCCCTAAACTGAATACAGTACTCCAGATGTGGCCTCATCAGTGCTGAATAGGGGGATAATCACTTCCCTTGACCTACTGGCAAGACCTACTAATGCAGCCCAATATGCCGTTAACCTTCTTGCCAACAAGGACACACTGCTGGTTCATATTCAGCTTATTATCCACTATAACCCTCAGGTCCTCTTCTGCAGAGCTGCTGCTCATCCCGTCAGCCCTCAGCATGTATCAGTGGATGGGACTGTTCCATCCTAAGTGCAGGACTTTGCACGTGTCCTTGTTGAACCTCATGAGATTCCTTTTGGCCGAATCCTTCAATTTGTCTAGATCACTGTGAATCCTAGCCCTACCCTCCAGCTATCTACTATTCCCCCGACCTTGGTGTCATCTGCAAACTTGCTGAAGGTGCACTCTATGCCATCTTCCAAGTTGCTGAAGAAGTCATTAGACAAAATCGGCCCACGAACCAACTCCTGGGGCACTCCACTTGATACCACTTGCCAACTAGACATCAAACCATTGATTACTACTCTCTAAGCCCAGTGCTCCAGCCAGTTTTTTGTTTGTGGTTTTTTTGTTTTTTTGTTTGTTTTTTGTTTGTTTGTTTTTAATCTACCTAGCAGTTCATTCATTCAGCTTATACTTCCTTAGCTTGCCTACGAGAATGCTGTGGGAGACCATATCAAAAGCCACATCCTTGCTAAGGTACACCAGATCCACAGGTCTCCCCACATCCACAGAGCCAGTCACCTCATCATAAAAGGCAATCAGGTTGGTCAGGCATGACTTGCCCCTGGTGAATCCATTCCGACTGTTCCAAATCATTTCTCTCCTCCAAGTGCTTTGAGATGGATTCCTTGAGGATCTGCTTCATTATTTTTCCAGTGACTGAGGTGAGGCTGACTGCTCTGTAGTTCCCTGGATCCTCCGTCTTCCCTTTCTTATATATGGGCACTATGTTTGCCCTTTTCCAAACATCTGGGACCTCTCCTGATCGCCATGAATTTTCAAAGATGATGGCCAGTGGCTCTGCAATCATATCAGCCAACTCCCTCAGCACCATCAGGTGCATCCCATCTGGGCCCATGGACTTGTACACAGCCAGCTTTTCTAAACAGTCCCCAACCTGTTCTTTCACCACAGTGCTGCTCACCTCCTCCCCAAACTGTGCTGTCCAGTGCAGTAGTCTGGGAGCTGACCTTGCCTGTGAAGACCTAGGCAAAAGAGGCATTAAGCATTTCAGCCTTTTCTGGATCCTGTCACAAGGTTGCCTCCCCATTCAGTCAGGGACCCACACTCCTCCTCTTGCTACCAACATACTTGTAGAAACTCTTCTTGTTACCCTTCACATCCCTTGCTAACTGCAACTCCAACTGCACTTTGGCCTTCCTAACTTCATCCCTGCATGCCTGAGCAATGCTCTTATAGTCTTCCTTAGTTATTTGTCCAAGCTCCTTTACAGTTCCTAATTCAGAATGTTTCCATTTTATGCTTTTAAAAGTTTAGATGGAATAACTCAGGTCAGCCATTAAGAAAGGGAAGGCCCTTATAGTCACTTCTTAGGTAGAACAGTTGAATTTTCTATACAAGTACACAGATCTCAGCCAAATCATGACTACAAAATTAAACACACTGTTGGAGTTTAACCCACCATTCCAGATAGTGACGTTACTTTGTTTAAATTAATTACTGACTCTGACACAGGTTTTAAAAATAAATTAAACTAACCATTAAAGAAAACTTACCATAGTGATTGTTCCTATTGCCTGGGTCATGTTTTGGACAGAACACCCTGAAATATTGGTTACATTAAACAAAAAAAAGAGAGAAAGAAATTATATTACCTCATGCAAACATTGTTCTACTTTTGATTTAAAAGATATTTCTTTAAAAAATCAACCAAAAACTCTCAGAAACAGAAGACTTTCAAGGAAAACCAGAATTTAGTAAAATAAGCTATGGTTAGCCTTGGAAAGGCACTTTTATCAAATACAGTATAACCACATTCCTGAGCTCCTATTTGTAGAGCACAGTTGAATTTACAAGGCCCTTGTAAACAGCTCATTTAAAATGTTACCAGTAACCCCACTCTCTTACATCCCATGCCCTTCTGCTGTTTAAACCGAGTAGCTAAGAGCTGCCTATCCAATTCTTTCCTTAAAAAGTTCAATAATGTGGGGGGGGTAGTTCATCCCAACTCACAGATTTTAAAAGGGCAATGTGGATCTTGTATGAGAGACTAACAAAAACAGGTATAGTAACATCCTTATTCAGAATCATAGAAAATTAGGGTTGGAAGGGACCTCAGGAGGTCACCCCCTGCTAGATCATCCCAGCCAAAGCTTTGTCTAGCTGGGTTTTAAAAACCTCCAGGGATGGAGATTGTACCACTTCTCTGGGTACCTGGTTCCAGTGCTTTACTACCCTCCTAGTGAAAGAGTTTTTCTTAATAACTGACCTAAATTTCCCTTGACTGAGAACAGTCTACCTCCATCCTCTTTGGAACCACTCCAAGTAGTTGAAGGCTGCTTTTAAATCTCTCCTCAGTCTTCTTTTCTCCAGACTAAATAAGCCCAGTTCTCTCAGCCTCTCCTCATAAGTCATGTACCCCATCCCCCTCACCATTTTTGTTACCCTCCACTGGACTCTCTCCAATTTGTCCACATCTTTTCTGTAGCAGGGGCCCCAAAACTGGACACAGTACTCCAGATGTGGCCTCACCAGTACCAAATAGAGGGAAAGAATCACTTCCCTCCATCTGCTTGCAACGGTCCTAATAATGCAGCCCAGTATGCCATTAGCCTTGTTCATAACAAGGACACACTGCTGGCTCATATTCAGCTTATTGTTCACTGTAACCCCCAGGTCCTTTTCTGCAGAGCTGCTGCTTAGCCAGTTGGTTCCCAGCCCGTACCAGTATAGTTTATATACCAAATAACAAATTATGTAAGAACAGTTACTTTCCTTGAGAACACCAAGCAACCTTCCTCCATTTACAAAAAGACCGTTTTTCCTGAAGGCTCCCAATGCATTTTTTCAACTTTGTTATAATGCTAGAGTTGTGGCCAAGAAAGCATTTCCATTATAAACCTCTATCTTAAAGAGCACAGACTAGCATTAAAATCACTTGCAGATACTGTTTAAAAAAAAATTCAGATGCAATTATGTGTACATTCTAATTTGTTAACAGTCATAATCTGAAAAATCCATATTTTTTTAAAGCCTAATTTTATACGTGCAACCATGGTGACTATTCATTTCCTTTTAGCAATCTGCCCCTTGTGAATACACAATAATTTAGTCAACAAATCTTTGCACACAAAGCTTCATGGCAGGATGCACTGCATATTAAATACTCATAAGTGTTGCCTTTGTTGTATAGTCCTTTTCTGTTGAGCATGTTGCAATGAGAGAGAAAAAAAGAGACAAATAAGAGACAGAGGAGAGAAAGAAAAAAGGTGAGCAGAGAGAGAACCAGAGACGCACACAGAGAACCACAGGCACAAACACAGAGAACCAGAACACACCCAGAACAGACACATATACACACACACATCCAGAACCAGATGTGTGCACACACACAGACACACAGGACCAGACAGAGGCAGACAAACGCACACAACCAGATGCACGGGCACATGGAGCTGGGTTCCTGGGCCACTGGACAAAGCCTGCTTCGAGGCATGTGTGCACCCGCCAGTATGGAGCTAATGCCGGAGCCTGGAGCAGATGTTTGCAGCCTCACTACTTAAACTAGCAACATTGTTAGCTTTTTGTATAGTGCCTTATGACCTTGTCTCATTTTAATTGTATTCTGTCAATTCTCTGAATTGCTGCCAATCATCATGCTGATAGTTTTAAATTCTAAACCACTGTTGAATCCTTAAGGCTAAGTTACATATAAACTGCTTTAAGTGATTGGAAGCTGGTTTAAACCTGTAATAGAACAGAAGTTCAGTGCATATAAACAGCTTTAAAATGGCTGAACCCAGTTTAAAATAAACCTGGATGGATGTAGCATCAGATTTAACTGATTTAGATTAAACCAGTTTATGGAACTTCTGTCCCAGATTCCCTCCCAACTCAAGTTAACCCACAGTCCGCCCAGCACCCCAGGATTCTTTGAAGCCCTGGGATGTGCTTCAGCAGATCAGGACTGGTCACACCCTTAGTTGTCACAGAGCTAAGGCCTCTGCTCCCTAACCTGCACCTACCAGCCTAGTGGGATGGAAGGCAGGAGAATGGACCCCTAAACTGACATAGCCTGGGTCTGCACAGCACAAGGGGAGAGAAAGCCCCCACAGCATGGTTTTTTGTCCCCTGATGCTGATTGGCCAAGAGACAAAAACCACAGCAAAAATAAGAGAGTAGAAATGGTGCCATTCACTGTGAGATGTCACCAGGCTTTTGGTAGGTTGAGAAAAAACATGGATTTTTGTGAGTTTTACATGGAGATTTTCCACTTTCTTCTCCACAGAAAACTAGGATTCCTGTTTATCATCCCGGAGTGCACCTCTTACATCTCTGTCATCTAACAGTCTCACTGATTCTCTAGGTGCGCCTTCCAGCTTCTGATGTATTTTAAAAGTTTTTAAAAGTTTAACTTTAGCATCTTTTGCTAGATGCTCCTCAAATTCTTTTTTTGACCTGCCTTGTGTCACTTGAGCTGCCAGAGTTTGAGAGTGTTTCTATTTTCCTCATTTGGGCACACCTTCCATTTTTTGCAGGATGCCTTTTTGCCCCTACATTAGCTCTTACCACACAGGAAAGAGACCTGGGAGTCATTGTGGACACTTCACTAAAAACATAAGCTCAATTGTTCAGCAGCCATCAGACAGGCAAAAAAAAATATTAGGGCTTATTAAGAGAACTGTAACTAAAGCAAAGTACCAGTATGCCCCTTTATAAATCCATGGTGTGTCCACACCTTGAATACTGTGCCCAGATCTTGTCCCTACACCTCAAAAATGATATTGAAGAACTAAAAAAGGTACAGCAAAGAGCAACAAGGATAATTTAGTGGTATGGAGAGGCTTTCATATAAGGAGAGATAAAGAGGCTAGGCCTATTCAGTTTAGAAATAAGACATTTGAGAGGGGAATATAATAAAAGTCTACAGAATACTAAATGGCAGAGAGAAAGTAAAAAGGGATTTATTATTTACTAGCTTTCACAGTACAAGAACTAGTGGGTCATAAAATGAAATGAGTAGGTAGTACGTTTAAAAGGAAATTTTTTTGCCACCAGATGTTGTAGAAGTTGACAGTTTAGCCAGATTCAAAAAGGGACTGGACAAGTTTTGCTATTATTAAGGGAACTGTATAGGGAGTTAGGGGTACAGCCTCTGAATCAGAATTTCCTAGCCTTTCAAATGCTGGAGGCTGAGAGAGAGGAACAGTGGAATAAAACCTGGTCATATCCAATTCCCTTTCAGCATCCATTCTGCCACTGTGTGACAGAATACTGGGAAAGATGGACCTAATATGGTCGGACCCAGTAAATAGCAGTTCTTATGTTCAGTTTAGAAATCTAGCAATAATATTCTCATGAATTTAAATAAGAGTCTTATGTAACTGCATTTCATAGTTTCATAGTTTCTAGGGTCAGAAGGGACCTGAGCAGATCATCGAGTCTGACCCCCTGCCATGGCAGGAAAGAGTACTGGGGTCAAACGACCCCAGCAAGGTGTTCATCTACCTCCTCTTAAAGACCCCCAGGGTAGGAGCCAGCACCACTTCTCTTGGAAGTTGGCTCCAGATCCTAGCCGCCCTGACCGTGAAGTAGCACCTCCTGACACCTAGCTTAAATCTACCCTCTGCCAGCTTGTGACCATTATTCCTGGTCACTCCTGGTAGTGCACGGGGGAACAGGGACTTCCCCAGTGCCTGCTGGTCCCCTCTGACTAGTTTGTAACAGGCAACTAGATCCCCCCATACCCTTCTCTTGTGGAGGCTGAACAGGTTCAGGTCCTGTAGCCTCTCCTCCTGGGGCCTGCCCTGCTGCCCCCTGATCATGCGAGTGGCCCTCCTCTGGACCTTCTCCATGTTGTCCACATCCCTCTTGAAGTGCGGCGCCCAGAACTGGATGTAGTACTCCAGCTGTGGCCTGACCAGTGCCACATAGATGGGGAGTATCACCTCCTTGGACCTGCT